AGTCAGAGGAGGAGGAAGTCTGTGAATACCCCCACAGGGCTCGGTTTCCTTCCATCACACCAGATGCTCTGCTCACCAGCTGGCATTCACAGCCCTACTCCCAACACCAGTGTTCCCTGCCCAGCAACCTTCCCACAGGTGACCCTTTCAGAAACCAGCCCTTTCCGTCTTATGGGCACATTCCAGAAGTAGGTATTGCTCCAGTGCCCAGCCCTAAAAAAAACAGGAACATATCTATTGAGAAAACAATGCACCCACCCTTCACCTTTCTCCTAGCTCTCCGAAGGTTTGTGTTTGGGGAGAACTTAGGGTAGCCTCCATGGACAGGTGCATGAGCATCTGCACTGTGGGATGCAGGGAGCAGTAGAGGTGGGGCTGGGGTGATGGGCAAAGCCATGCTCTGCAAACTATGGAAGGACTCAGCAGCAAACCAGGACCAGATGTGCCCAGGCATAATGATGCTTCAGAATTACTTACAATGTAGGTTAAAGGGGAGGCAGTTTTTATACCCCCCATGGAAACATGGGCAGCTGAGAAATTATTTTAAATGGAGATGGCAGCCAATGGCCTTTTTTTTTTTTTCTTTTGTACCATTTTACCTAAACTTACACTGCCTTCAGCGTAGCTGTGAGTATGTCATAAAAGACACATACCAACAGCAGAAGAAAATACTGATAAGGTTGCTCTAGGTTAACTTTTTTTTTTTTAATCATAAAGCTCTGATGACCTTCATTTCTTATAGAACAATAAAGTGTAAGAACTTAGAGGCTAGCTGTAAAACCCATGACATTGGTGAGCATTTCATTTTACAATAATTAACGCAGTTATCTGAAATCATCAGATGCTACTGTCATATATTAGGCACCTCTGCTAGGGACCAGCGTTCCAGAATTCAGCAAGGCTTTCTGTGCTGTGATGTCACAGCACTTTGTTCGCATCAGGGGGAGAAAATGATACTAAGTAGCCTCACTCATATTGCTCCTCTGAAGCCCAGGGGCATACTTCATTTGGCAATAGTGGTTTACTAACCATGCATTGCCTGCCTCTTGTTTCCCTAGCACAAAACTGGGCAGCAGAAGTTAAGACTGGACAGGTAGAAAAAGGGAAACATGTAAAATGGGGTGGAATGTGGAGACCTTGAGGTTAGAATCCAGGGTGAGCTTTGATCTTATTGACCGTTATTGAGTGCATATCTAAAACACCTGGCTTTTCAAATGTTGAAATGTCTTTTAGGGCTGACCGATCTGAGGTGTAGACGTGTGAAATTGAATCGCACAGGCAGTGGATACCAGGTCATCAGGTGTGATTGGGGCGTTTGTGGCACCGCTCTGCCCTGAGGTTGGGACCTATTTTTATGCCGCTGAAAGTCAATCTGGAGAATGTGTTATCTGACATCCCCAAATGAAGTGGGTAACTTCCTAGGATTTAGCATTTTAAGAATGCATTTGGTATCCCTATTAGTCACTGCCACTAATGCATAGAAACTCCAAGCCAGTGGTTCTCACCATGTTTTCATTAACATCACTTGGGGACTTTGAAAAATCCTGGTGACCAGGCCCAGCTCAGAACAATGTAAATAGGATCTCAAGGCCTGTGGCTCAGGTATTACTATTTTTAAAACTCCCTAAGCTGATTTTGACCTTTATTTATGGAAAAGCAACCGACACAGAGCTTACCAGTAATTATGATACTGGTGTAAACTGGAGAGAAGCGCTGACTCCTGACAGCTTTCTAATTTTACCTCTACTGACAGAGAGACCCAAGGTGAACAGTTTTGAGCTTTGCCTTGACAAACAGCGCTAGCTCATCTTTGCACACAAATCTAACCAATGTGTGTGCTGATCTTCATTGAAGATTCTACACAGCTTCCATAATAAAAAGCTATGGGGTCAGTACAGGTTATCCTAACCTCACAGAGACCAGTCTGAAAACCACTTTCTTAGACCTTATTATAGGGGGGTAAAAAAAATACATAAAAATGAAGATTGTTATAAAGTCAGGGATCTCAAAATGCTTAAGGGGAAAACCATAGGAAAAACAAGAGTGAACAGCACATAGACCTACCATGAAGACCGATGGTTGTGAGGCTGTGAAGAACATCACCTTCCTTCTCTTGCATTCTGGACCATTGAAAGCACAAATATGGGTGAGAGTAGCTTTGGAGGCTAATACAGTGTCATAAAGAAACATATCAGGAACTTTAACAGAGAAGTGGAAACTGGTGGAAGGACAGGAAAAGGGAAAGATAAAGAAAATCAGATTATTCCTCCTGGCAATTTCAAGTTCAATGACTTTGAACTCTTCTTCTCTTTTGGATTTCTATCTCTATATACTTGGAGCAATTTAACAACCTCCAGTTTTAAGTTTAATGCATTAAAAATAAAAACCAATTTGAGGCACCGATATCATACCACATTTTGACAGTTTGTCTGGGTCTTGAGCTGAAGGGCACAACTTCTGAGTCGTTCTGCTGGAAGTGACCAATAGACATTAAAAGAGTTCCTTATCATCAATAGTAAGGATTAACGGCCCTTCCCTAGTCACTGTGGCTATTCTTCATCTATTTTTCTCCTGGGGGCTATTTTATTTAACCCCTAGAAGCCAAAGGGTTGATGCAAAAGGGAACTGTGGTTAAGCACCCAATAAAATAAAATTCAGGAAAAAGCCTCTGAGGTCTACAGTGAGTTAAAACTAAAAAGTAGTGATCAAAGAGACAAATGATTTTAAAGCTACATGCCCAATTGTATGTGTTTGCATAGACCACTTTTAAGCTTTGTGAATGACGGGAAGTAAACGAGTAATAAATTGATTGTAAGCTGTCTAGGTAACAAATATTACATGGCTATTTTGGTTAAAAGGAGTGTTAGCTTAGCAATAAATCTTACTTTTTTAGAAAGCAAGATTTTTTTTTTCAACTGAATGATGAAATATTTCAGGCAGTAAAAAAAAAAAATGTGGAAGGGCAGGACACTTATCCTCAAGGTAACTGATTATTCGGTATAACTAAATCGGGTGTTGATTGATCTGTACCCAGGTCTTCAGCATCCAGTGTTACACTGTTTTCCATGTCATTTGGAAGTGTATATCACCATCACAATTAAAACTGTGAGGTCTCTCCTAAGCATTGCTGGCTATAGTGATGGTAGAGTTCTTCGTTTCGGTCATTGCATCACACCTTCCACTGTATCTGTCAATGTGAGGAAGATGGAGAAGTAACACCAGCTCCTCTTCTTGCACCTCCAGGAGCTCCCTAGCTGGGACTCAGAAACTAATCAAGAGCCTTGGTTGGGTTAACCACTCTGCCCTGTTCTCTAAGCTCTTCCTCTCCCAACTCCATTCAAAGCTTCTGTGCCACACACACACACACACACACACACACACACACACACACACCATCGCTGGTCATGTGCAGAGGGGTCTGACCCAGGGATGGCAGTCTTGGTGCCTCTGACACACTCATCATCCTCTGGTCTCTGCCAATCCCCTCACCCATGAACAAGATACCAGCAAGATCACATTTCTGTCATGCATTAGCATTCTCAGAATTGGGTCTCTTGAAGTATTTGAAAGCTTTGGGGTTGTATCCTCATAAGAGTGCCTTCCTTCATATAGTTTTATTATTACATCCACAGTCTTGACATTTCCAGAGATGTAAGTACTTACATGGTCCCATAGTAACCTAAGCATTATGAAATCTGAACTGCTGAGCAAAACATAGCTCCAAAAACCCACATAGGACAGCAGTGCTGAGGAATTCATTGATATTGCCAATAAAACCTAGGGTTGTGCTATACTTATATCCAGTTGTCCCCTTTGGTCTTAGAACATATCAAATATTAACCAGTTTTCACATCACAAAGTACGTTGCTTGCTCACTTTTAATGACATATGCAATATTATTACTTTAATAACATATGCATTATTACAAAAGCCAAACTTTTGACTAAAGCAATTTCCTGAGCCACTACTTATAATCCCAAAATATATCCCATTGAGTTCCTTAAACATCTAAATACGTTCAGAAAAAAAAAAGAGAAAGAAAGAAAAAGCTAAAAGAACTGAAAATAATAGTTGCCTCTGTGAAGGAATTGGGGGTTGGGTGGGTGTGTCCTTTGCTTTGTTATACTGCCAGTGCTGTGTGACAGAGTACTCTGATAGAAGTGAACTTGACTTTAAAAAGAGAGAGGGTGGAGGAACTACCAAAACATCCTTTCAAGACATCTCAGGGAAGGTGGGAGGAATTATTGGCTACTTTTACTTTCTTCTTTATGCTTTCTAAATTCATAAAATCCTCCATGATGTATTTATACGGTTTTTATAATGAAAAATTGTATATATGCTTTTCATGAATTAAGTAGATATTTGAAAGCTTCATGGAGGATTAATGTGGTAGGATGCAATCTGCATATGCTCTAAATGGAAAAACACAATTTCTGTGGCAAAGCAGAGAGCATAGGAGTCTAGGCCTGAACACTCAGTGGGAGGTGAGACACTCAGTGTGAATATACACTGAAGGCCCTAAGCAGGTGGAGATCAGGCATTTGTGGCGGAGAAGGAAGTTCAAAGCACTGTAAGGGAGGTAAGCCAGAAGGGAGGATGCTGCTTGGCACCTGGCCCTGTGAACGAATGTAAACACTTTTAGAAGGTGGTTGAAAAGAGGGCCAGAGAGAGTTGGAACCAGGTAGGCAAAGAGCAGACAGTTCCAGGGCCATTCCACATTCTGAGCAGGATATTTTCATTTAAATGAAAGCTGGCCAAAGCAGGTTTGCCAAGAGACCATTTATCCCGCATTTGGGAAGGAAAGCAAGCACTGAAAGCAGGCCCTCCCCTGTCAGCCTAGCTGGAGGGAACCGGAGGTGGGTCTCAATTCACATTCATCTGTTTTAACCTTGATGATTACCGAAATGGTTTGCCAGTTCAGACGCGTGGGACTTGGGAATGTCAGGAAGGGAAGAATCACTCTGCCTTCCCCACTTAATCAGAGCGTGCTGTCTTCGCAGGATGGATGGTCACAGTATCACTTTGTAGCCTCATCTTCAACCATCGAGAGGGATCGGCAAAGGCCCTACTCCTCCTCCCGCACGCCCTCCATCTCCCCTGTGCGCGTATCTCCCAACAACCGCTCAGGTAAGAATCACCAGAACCAGCCAGGCCGAGTCCCCCTCTTTCCCAGCTCCTTAGCTGACCCTCACAGGGAGAAGAGCCACCCCCATCCGGATGTCTGCTGTAAATATCAAATGACTGCTTTCTTTTTATTGCAGTGGCAACTGTGTTACTCAGACTCAGAATTAATCTCTAACAGAATCTAAAAATCTCTGACAGGCCGTATGTCATGAAATGCATGTCACAGACCTACATTCAATGAGGAACAAAGATAAAGAAAACTGCCAGGTGTTTGCAAATCAGCATTTTTCATGGATGTTTTTCCAACTTAAAATAGTTTGAGTTGCATTTTATTAATTGTAATCGGGACAACAGAATAAGGGAGAGGGGACATGCTATTTCCTAATTCAGAATGGCATATTTCCAAACTACATCATTGAGGATTTCATTACTATTCCATATCTGATTAGCTTTTTATTATTGCCTTTTGACCAATGAGTGAATCATTGATAAATTCTTATTACTACCAACTATAACTTTTAAGTAATCTATGTTTTGCTTATTTTGTCACCTTCTCATTACTTTTACACCCTTTTTCAATCATGTAATATAATGCCAAAGATGAGAGAAAGAAATTAAAGGCAAAATATGAGCACAATGTTTAGTGTATACATGGCATAAATTTTATTGTGGTTTTACTCAAAGTTTAAGTCTTTAAAACTTTTGTTTATTTCTGCATTTTGGTTTTTGTTGTGAGAAGGATGGATAAATAATTATATGTACATATACATGCTCACACATGCTCATGCACACATTCACACACACACACACACATACACACACACACACACCTGCATAGGCTTCTATTTAAGAACGTTTCTCCTGCTCCTCGCTGCCCTCTCACTGCGGAGGAAATAATATTTCCTGAAACTGCAGCTCAGCGGGTATGACAGGGAGCACACACCCGCAGAGGCCCCTCTGTCCGTGAGAACATCTGTCATAAAACTGCACCACACAGAAGTGTCAGGATGACGAGGAAAATCAGAAACGAATGGGCAATGTGTGCCTGAAACAAATGACCCTCTCCTAGCCCCATGAACACTTATATTTCTTAGTGGTCTTACTGCTTGTAATGTTTATTAGTCCCACACTAGACGAGTCAGGACCCTACCCCATGTGACGGGGGAAACTCTCAGAAGCACGGAAAGGGCCTGTTCTGCATTCTTCCCATCTTTCTTAAAAAGATAAAGAGCAGGGAACCTCACAAGCATGAGGAGAATATCTTTTACAAAGTTCTAATTACTCAGAACCAATCAGCGTTAGGATCATGAAATGACATAATACCTTGGAAAGTGCTGGAAGGAGCAGGGACACCCTATCAGGATATCATCCCAGCCATTCAGCTAAGGTGTTTCCCAAGCGAGGCACATCAGAGACACCTCATAAACACTCATTTGCAAGATATGATCTTTCCAGAGATCACCTATGTTTACGGAGACCACTGTGCATGAGGTCTCAGGAGATAATTACACACTTGACGTGGTTTAATAAGCCCCGCCATCTGTGCAATATTAGATTCTAATTTTAGAAGCTTTGGTCAAGAGCCTCCAAGATAGTGTCTCTTTGTGATGGCCTGGCAGTGACTAACAAAAGACTCCCTTTGATGTAGAAAGGCCTAGAAGCAAAGGAGCAAGGGCAGGAAAGGGTCTCTCCCTGGAGGGAAGGCTGCAGAGCAGAGGTGAGGGGAGCGGGTGCAAGTGAGCAGGATGATGCTCAGATGCTCAGCAACTGGACAGAGTCCCGCTCAGTTCCGGGAGGGGAAGGGGGAAAGGGACGTGGTTTGTTTCCGTGTCTTCCTATTGGATTTACACCCAGAGGTTCTGGTCCAACTGGGTTTGTGTGGGTCTCAAGCAACTGTATTTTTTAAAGTATTCCAAGTGATTCATTCCAATGGACAGCCAGGCCTGGCAACCTCTGGGAGTTCCAGGAGCTGAACAGCGAGCCTCGATTTTATTTGATAGATTTGGGAAGTGGGAGACAGGAAGCGATGGGAAGGCCCCTTTGTTTACCTTCTTAGCTTTTGGCTGTAATGCCCACAGAGCACCAGCCTCTCCTTCTGGTTTATTTGCACATCCATTTCCTCACCTGACTGAGCTCCTCTGGTTCAGCAGGTGTGATGCATTCATCTTTCTGTCTCCCAGCGTCTCTCATATAGAAGACACTAAATTTGATGAAATGAAGCAAAGGTTCAGACAGTGAAAATAAGGGTACATTCAGGGATCAAGCTTACCCAGTGGGCTGGAGCTGAGGGATCCTGCAAAGGGTGTGAAGGATAAGCTACAGGGTAAACTGAAGCCTGATTGGGGAGGAGCTGGGCACTAGCCAAGGAAAGAGGATTTTATTTAAAAAAAAAAAAATCCCAGTTCCCAGGCTTCCCCAAACCTTAATAATCAGCAGGTCGGCTTGTTAAATATGGATTCCTTGAACCATCCCCTAAAAATTCAGTCACAGAAGGTCCAGGGCTGGTGAGTCTCAAGGTTAGACAAGTTTCTGAAGCACTGCCCTGAGCACAGGAGGCTGGCCAAGGCTTTGAGGCAGAACAGTACTTTGCTAAGCTCACACTGAGTAGATGCAGTTGCCTAAGCTCCAGATCTGAGTAGTGTCTTATGGAGCATGGAGCATATGAGGGTAACAACCACAGGTGGGCTGTGCGCCAGCTGCCTCATGGCCAGCACGCACAGGTATTACTCTACGTCCTTCATCGTGTCTCTGCATGGTCAGGGCCGCTTTGTTCCTCCCAGGTCATCCCCTCTTTCAAGGAAACTAAACCTCTTTTTGTTTGCTTCTTGAACTCCAAGCTCAGCCTTTTCTGTGTTCTGGGACCATTTTGCTAAAGAATCATGGGGACTCTTCTAGTTACAACCCATCATTGTAGAAATGGAGACACAGAGGAAGATGGGGCTCGCTCCCCAGGGTCCAATAGGCAGCGAGAGTCCAAGGTGTAAGTGTGGGTGCAGGATTGTAGGGGCATTCATCCAAAGAGCTGGAGCAGGACACCGCATCAGGAAGAGGGAGCTGTCCTCACACCCTGCCCCCAGGGATCATCCTGTGTGGAGAGCTGCTTCCTTTGCCTTCCTTTAGGGAGTTGCTGGGTAGTTAAGTAAAACTCTGTTTATTTTCGTCAAAGATTCTTCAATACCAGTAATAGCTCCTCTGAAACAATCTAATTTAAAAAAGGGAGGAAAGTAGAAGAGAGGAAGGAAGGAGAGAGGGAACAAAAAGGAAAGAAAAATAAAGAAACTAAGATCCATCTCATTCTTGGGCAGGCAATGTTCCCACCAGGATGTCTCTCTAAGAAAGATGGCCCCGGTATATAGTTCTTAATTACTTGCCTTCAAGCCATGTGTCCCCTCAACTATAAAGCTCCAAGTGACACAGGGTAAGGGAATGGGTACAGACAATAGCCAAAGAACAAGAAAATCAACACATTGATATATGTTGAGCCAGGTGTGTTTTGACCTTAACTGTTTGTGTGAATCGCTGTCCATGCTATGGAAAGTCATCCTTTTGATTTCTTTATGTAGCAAGTGCCCCAGCTTCACCTCGGGAAATGATCAGCCTCAAAGAAAGGAAAACAGACTATGAGTCCACTGGCAGCAATGCCACTTACCACGGGACTAAAGGAGAACACACTTCCAGGAAAGACACCATGACAGGTGAGTTCAGCTTCGTGCGTTTCCCCCGTGGAGCTGGTGACTATCTGGGATGGAGCAGAGGACTGGGGCGTCAGGCTCCAAGCCATGCTTGGCAGCTCAGCAGGACTCAGCAGCTAGCAGGTCACTGGAGAGTTTGACAGTGAAGACCCCCAGGAACTGGGAATGAGGAGATTAAGCCAGAAGTGTAAAACCTTAGCATCGTACTCCTGAAAAGAGCTAAGAGAAAATGACCTCTACACACATTATCCTCAGTCCTTCTTTCCTGCCCTTTCCCTCTCACTTGCCCAGCTCACTTCTCTTGCATTAGAAAGGTTTCTCCCAAGTTGGTATGTATATCAAGTTTTGTCATTAGGAATGGATGGAGAAAAAAGAGGATAAGAAAAGAAGAGGAGAGGAGGGAGGGAGGAGAAGAAGGAGGAGGAGGAGGAAGGGACTGGTATGGCAGCAAAGGAAGAGGATTTAAGGAAAACCCACAGAACTTCTGTTGAGACAATTTATCCTTTTACCTTGAAACCAAACTCCCAAGGAAATTCATTAGAACAATGACCACAATTTCCCTGAGGACAAATTGATCTTTTATAGGCTTCATCTTTCACTACCCCAATCATACCCATTGTCTTTCCTTTCTCACCAGCTAGGACTCTGGAGGCCAAACTTGGTGCCCTTCACCCCTCCCTCCAGGGTGCCCTGCACAACCTGTGTAATAATCAGACTTGACTTAACTCTCCCATTATCTGTACAACTCTCTTTGGGGCAGGGTGTGCCTCTCACGTTCATCATCCCCTCCAGAGTGTCTGTACACCTACCCTCTGCCCCATTTGCCCCTCCTCCAAGGACTTGGGGGCATTGATGTAGAGAGGGTTATGTTTTAGAAACAGAGCTGCCAGAGTCATCAGAATCTCTAACTAAGGAGTCCCACCCTTCTTTATCACATGGATATAGAGATGGGTCCCTCCTGAAAATCAGCCATGAGGAGCAGGGCCAGACTGGACCAGTCATTAAACTGGAGTGCAAAGAGCACAGTCCTAAACACACACTAAAACCCTCTTATCAGAAAAATCTTCAAAGCATAGGGTGCATCTCTCTAATATTATTTAGATCTAGCAGCCTCCTGAGAAGCAGAACAGACAAATTGGATGATTTATGAAGATTTCTTCCTAGGATGGAACATATCTAAGAAAATTTTTCTGGTGGTAAATGTATTTACCCCAGAGGCAGCGTTTCCATGGTAATTCTGCATGACCGCAGAGAGAAAAGCATAGTAAACAATTGCCCACGATCCCCACTCCTAGGTCAGCACTCTGCCTCCACACACAGACCCTATAAGGGAATGAGACCTCTCACCCTTGAAGCATCTCCTGAATGAGAGGACTGAGCTCATTACATAGGACGTATCTTATTATTCTCATTCACTGGCTTTCCCCCCATCAATGTCACCCTGGTTATAGATGAGCACAAACAAAGAAAGTTGTGAATTTAGATGCTGAGTCCCTAGAGTCAACACATTCAGCAAAGAATCTAATTTGTCCTGATTAGTCCAGAGTATTAGTGACACCAAATCCACCTGACCCATTCATTTTGTGATTAGCCACCTCACTGGCAGTCTGGGATGATAAATTGAGATTATGATTAAAAGAAAAATTGTGAAATTGTCTGCATTGTCATTTAAGTGTAACTTTTCTCTTTAACTTTCCTGCCCAGTGTGATCATTCAAAGGTTTTTAAATGTGGATGTCTGTGTTGAAATAATTCCAATGGCACATGATCGTGCCCTGCACACATAATGAAATAAAATAAAATCTAATGTGTTTTTTTTCTTTAGTCTTCCTAGAAAATGGCAGGGATCTTGACAACTCCAGTATTGAGATATGTGTAAATTTTAAAACTCAAATAGAGGCTTAAACAGTGTTGCTCTAATTTATTAAAAACACAAGTCAATAATGCACTGTCAGTCATGTAGCAAGCCTAGAAGAACATTGAGATCTTCATTGAATAATGTGTTTATACTGGAAGGTTCCCTTTAAGCCAACAAGTACTATGTAAAAGACAGTTCTTGATGGTAGTGGTGATGATGTTGATGATAATGGTGGTGATGGTAGTGAGCAGTGATGGTGGTGGTGGTTATGATGGTGGTGGTGATGGTGGTTGTGGTGTGCAGTGATGATGGTGGTGATGGTTATGATGGTGGCAATGGTAATGGTGGTGATGGTGATAGTGTGGAATGAAAGTAGTGGTGGTGACAGTGATGGTGATGGTGGTGTACAGTGATAGATGTGATTGTGGTGGTGTGCAGTGATGGTGGTGGTGATGATGGTGGTATTGATGGCAGGAATGATGATGGATGGGGTATTGGTAATAAGGATGATGGAGATAATGGTGTGCTGAGACTGGTGGTGGCATTGACACTTTCTGTAGTGGTATGAGTATGTCCCCAGCCAAGTCAGATGAGAGACAATAAATCATATAGAAACGGAAATAATGACTTGCCAACCTCCACTCGGCAATACTTCAGCAAGTGCCCATTGTTCCAACATTTACTCACAGATGAGATGTCTAATGACCTCTGCATCAAGAGCAGTACTTTTTCTCATTCACCTATAAATCCAGGGGACATGTACAGGTCAGTGCATTAAAACTGCCCCTTCTTTTCTAAGCCATCAGAGGATGTCCTACCATTTCCCCCAATGAAACAATCCCTCTGCTGTGGTAAACCATGAGAAAGTTCACCCTCAAAGTGCAACCTGGGAAAAATTAAAAAGTAGAAGCAATTTCTTGCCTGGGTTATAATCTCATCTATTAGGTCCTAGAAATACAGATCCACTTAGGATTTTATTCCAGGCTTCCCTCCATCCACCTTTTTGAAATTCATTTTCCACCTAAATGGAGTCTCTTAAAATGCGTCTGTCTTTAGTGTTTCTTTGCCATGGAGGAGTCTTCAGAAAGCCAAAGTCAGCTGTTCATTCAGGCTTGCAGGACTGATAGCTCTTCCTGGTGGTCATGATCCCTGGGAACATTATGTGTTCAGAAGCACGCATCACAGGAGGGCTGTGTGATCCTGGCAGCTACACAGCCTGACCTGAATATTCACCAGGGGATTTTGCCCTCCTTTCTAAGCTTTAAATGCCTTTCCATCAAACCGTCTGTTCTGTTTTTGTCAGTGTCTCTCTTGTACCTTTTGCAGCCATTCTAATCTTTATTATGTTGATTCAGTTGGAAATTGAGGCTTATAAAGAAAAGGAAAGGCATCTTCCTATGAGTCCACTCTGAGGTCCATATACAGGGTGAAGCATTCACAAAGACATCTGCTTCATGTGTCTGCAAAGGCCACAAGTTCAATCTCAGCTATACACTCTCCTCCAAACAGGTGAAGTGGCCAAAGAGCAGGAGGAAAGGACTTCCGGTAGAGATGGCTTTAGCTCAGAAGCCACAAACATGACAGGGAGGAAGGCTAAGGCTATCATAGGGCATTGTCTACCAAATAAAATTACGTTTCATTCTAATAGAAAACATTTTTTTCACCTTATTCTTGAAGTGATAACTTCTATCAGCAAATTATGCCTCAGAAAGCAGGTTTTCTTTGATTTATGAATTCACTCATTCAGCAAATAAAGCATTCTGTGATAATCACCAAGGCCAGGCACTGTCCAAGACGCTGAGGATACCTGCAAAGGTGTCAACTCCTAGAGCTTGTGCTCTCATAAAGGAAGGCAGGTAGTACATAAAGAAAACAATAGAGCAAGCTCACCAATGAGGTAATGGCACATGGTTGTTGAGCATGAGGAAGAAAATAAATTGGGTAATGAGATAGAGAACTACTTTAACTGACAAGGTCTAGGAGAAGGCATTTGTGCCCAAACCTAACCAGCAGCAAGATGAGGCAGTCCAGAGTGTGCAAGCAATATCTAGGGGGGAGGATCAGCAAGTACAACATCCCTGAAGCAAAACAAACTTAGCAGGTTTGACCAGCATAGCTAGGGCTCAGCACACAAGGGAAGAGTGGGGGACACTTCAGAAAGTGAGGCAGAGGCCAGATCATTCAAAGCCTCATAGACCGTAAAAAGGAGCTTGGCATTTACCATAATCCAGTTTGTCTAACAAGATGATTACTCAGCTTGGGAACAGGGTGGACAGAGGAGTGGGTTTGGGCAGAATGGAAACTGGGCCTTCAGGGAGGATTCTGTAGCCATGGACCAGGCGAGGGATGATGGTTTTCGCAGCAATACAGAGATCGGAGTGGTGTGTATTCAACTGGAGTCTATCTGAATGGTGTTTCAAATTGAAAATGGGCTCTCAGCCTTCACTCCTCCAGGAGAATTTCAGAAGAGGAGTTTTATTGCACAGCTATTATATGCTTATAGTAATAAGCAGGGGTGAAATAGTAGCTTACACTGACTCTGTGTCTAGAGTGGCCTGTCTCTATGACAGATAGATGGTGTGTTATCTTATCTCATTATCCCATAGATACTGGAAGCAAAAGATAAGCCCTTCTTTATTTCTAGAGTGTTTTATACTCAATGACACTCAAGGGGGGGGGGGGGGGGGGGGAGGAAGCTTTTCGAAATCTTTTTTTAATCATGACTCTATAGTTGCTATGAAGGGAGCAGTGCCCGGGGCCGTTCCTCTGGGCTTGTGGCAGGAGCCTCAAGGCTTCCAGGTGAAGAAGTGGGCAAATGAGCATCCTTCCCAGGCCTTTGGAAGCTGCCCATAACTGGAAGAGACTTTCAATTAGACCTTGGGCTGCTCACAAAACAGAGGGGGCTCCTATATGTGCCTAACAGGATTCCAGAGCCACGGCCAGCCAGACATGCAGGGCACCCACAGGTCGTGCTTCTGCCTGTCCTTCCGGCCTTTGAGAAACGGACAGTCTGAACGATGCCCAAGCATTTCTGTGAACTCAAATTAGAAATTTCAGTCATGACATTCTCCTGCTAAACACGAAGCTGCTGGTACAGATTCCGGCATGCTCCAGTGCAAGTGACAAGCTTTTATCATCCGCCCATTTTCACCAGGAAGGAAGGCCATCAAACTTTCAAAGTGACCATCTGTCTGTCGCACCTGCCCTGACCCTGTCTACTCTCTGAACATTAGTGCAGTAGGCTGCCATGCAATGGGGATTTTATAGAAGAGTTGTGCTTCTTTCTTAATATCTGTATGCAGAGCGAGGTGTTAGAGACCAAAGATTTTCTTCCACTTGGAATGGTCCAGGAGAAGCCAAGCATGTTAGGGCAAAAACTTGCCTCGATAACCATTAGTTCTCCATTTGAAACCTTGGTCTCTCTGGTAATACATTTGTTTCCCTTTGCTTTCAGCTCAAAATACTGGAATTTCAACTTTGTATAGGAATTCATATGGTGCGCCCACTGAAGACATCAAACATAACCAGGTAAAGGAGACACAGAACGTTTGTAGTATTTATTTTCTCCTTCGACTCCTGTCATCTGTCCCAGAATTGTAAGATACATTAACTTCTTTCTCACAGGCATAAAGAACAACAATGGAAAGAAAGCACTGTTCCCTGCCGCTCTTCCCGCTGGCATCACCCAGCCTCCATGCGGGTGGTGGCAGTCATTAGAACAGCCGCACATTGGGAGAGAGTCTTAGATTTCACCACAACCACACACTTTATTTCCTGGCAGAGAGCAAGTTTCCTACTATGATGCAAAACTAAAAGAAATAAGGCAAGCCCCAATTATATGAGCATAAGATGCCGGTTACTAGACCAATGGCCTAATTACTAGACAAGAATTAAGTAACTCCTATAACCCAGCCAACTCTCATTCAGAAGAAAGCATTCATTATGAGTGATCATTATTAATGAGATAGACACATCAACTCCAATAAGAACAACTAAATAGGATGCATTTTAATGTGCCTCGCAACTCCAAGTCCAGGTGAAGAACAAGCAGTCCCAACATCACTGGGGGCTTGTGAGAAAGGCAGAGATTCTTCTCTGACCCTTACCCCAATCAAGGGTTTGTCTGCATCAGACACACATTTCATCCAGATGTCCAGGTGATTTTGTGTCCATTCAGGTTTAAGGAGCTCTGGGATGGTCAATACTTAAATAACTGATCTAAGTTTGTATGCATGTGTTTTATTCTACAAACATTCATCAAGGCCCCTTTTTTTCCGTGGTTCTGTGGGGACATAAAAGCCGAAAGGCACAGCCTGTGGTTCTTCATTGATGGACAACTTCATACTTCTCTCCCCCTTTGGTGTTCATTACAGAATGAATGGCATGCTTGTAACTGTTGGACACTAATACCTGTTGCGAGAATTGGCTTCTTGCCGATGTGCTTTATTCCGTTCAGGCATCAGGAAAGTTGGGCTGAAAGGATAAACCTGAAACCTGTTTGCTTGATCACAATTTCCATATGGAAGCCAACATGGGAGGCCAATGGGTTGTTTGTGGACATTTCTCAACACCCAGCAGGACATTTCTGAAAAGGGAAGGGCCTCTTTCTAGCAGGTAGAATGTCCTGTGCAGGACCATTTCCAGTGAAGAAGAAAGAGGACATGAAAAGTATCTCCTAGACCTGAAATTATTTTTTGCTTTAATCAACCATCAACAGGAGAAATGAGAATGGGTAGAGGTGTTATCCTTTTGCCCTCAATTTTCCAGTTTATGCACAGCCACTCCTGAAACATCTGGTGTTGTTTGCAGCCCCTTCTACCCTCCCCCAATGAATACCTGGACCCTCCAGCCTGCCTGACACATTGCTAATATCTACTCGACCTCCCTCAGTTCTAGCCTTTGCTAAAAGAAAGATAAGCCAATGAATAAATTGAATAAATAAGTCAGGATATGAGCTCTAGAGGAGAGGTCACCAGGGGTTTCCTCCAACTATTTACATGTCAACATGCCTGCTCACACATAGAGGAAAACAGAAACAAAATATATTGGAAATGCCAATTCCATGTATGGAAATCCACCCTTTTTCTCTTAGCAAATATCAGGTACAGTGAGCAAACTGTCCTCAGCTTTTAAAGATGCTTGTAGGATGTGATAGAACCCTGATTTGCATCCAAGAGCGGAAGGTTAGTTTTTACTTTAGGTAGATTAAGAGAAGCCAGCCACCAGAATCCACTTATTCTACACAAGCCATTTTCTTTTGGAACTTTGTTGTTGTTGGCAATGAAGCAACACCCTCGTGTGGCCCAGAGTCCCTTGGCATCTTTTAGTGTGGCTGCAGGAGGCTCCAAGGATTGCTTGTAATTTAGCTTTAGAGGACAGTCCATAATGGTTCTAGGGGCACATTCTTTTCACCTAAGCCTCTTCTGAGCACTTACACAAATTAGAATGAATGTGCTGAGTTGGCATCTCTACTATAAGAGAGAGCACAGCCTACTGTAGCCTTTTCCCCAGGGTGTCCCAGAATGTACTCAACTCAGCCTCAGTGTGAATGTCAAGGCCACAACATCTCAGGTGAATGCTGCTGAAACCCAGCAGGGATGGATACCAAACCTTACATCACTTGTCAGCCCAGGGGAGATGTTGTCAGCAGGCCACTAGCAGAGCTGAGTCCTGTGGCCAAAGTTTAGTGCCATCATTATACCCTAAGGTGTTCAGCAAAGGGAAGTTGGCAATTAGACTGTTAATACCATTCTAATATCAAGAAACATAAAATATCAGTCAAAGACAGTGGGGTTTTTTCCTTAAAAATTTTCAAAGAAATCATTGTGACATGCCAATGAACTTGAGAAAAGAATAAAGTGCTTTATTTCAGACTTGCCATTGAAATAAACTTTGGCTGTACCTGCAGTTCCCACTTGGGAACTAAATTAAGTTTGACCATCCTAACCATTTGAAAGAGGAGACAACCTGGTTCTCTTCCAATTGGGTGGGTCTAGGGAATAACTGTAGACATCACCCATGATTTAGTTTCTCTGGCCACGTGGGCATGGCTGGCCACTCCAGATGGAATACCTTTGTTTGGTGAAGTTTCCTGAGCCAAGAGTGACCTCATAACCTCTTAACTGGTAAAAAGCCATCTTGAACCATTTAAGCAGGAGAGACGCTCGGGGTTCATTCAGTTTCAATGTCAAAGCTTGTCCTCTGCTGAGCATTCTAGTCTCCTGGGTGTTGTAGGCACCAAGTAGGCCTCGTGAGCTTCACAGAGGTGGCTGGGCTGTGACTCCTCTCACAGAAGAAATGATTCCCTAATGGAAACTGGTTTTAGGTACATCTCTAGAATAAGGTAAAAAACAAAGAGAGGTGAGAATGAGGCAAAAGCAATCAATGCATGGCCCGGTGAAGGTGGGGCCTGGGCAACTACTGACTTTCCCTGACTCAGAGGAAAGGAGCCAGGTTGTTGTTCAGCTATGACACTCCCCTGTGACTACCTAGGACTCCAGTCTCATTTTCAGGGAATTCCAAGCTCCCAGGAGAAATATCCATTAGTGTGAAATAAGATTTGTGATCCTTGGTTTTTATGTTTGGAGTCAACAGGTGATGGACATAATTTTAAGAGTTAACTACTGAAACACTTCAAAAATTCTACTAAGCTTTTAGCAGTCCATACCATCCTTATATAGAAAACTAGCAGACTTAACTGCTCTATCCAAATAGCAACAGAATTTTTGTTAATAAAATTCTGAACACCTGTAGACATCATCCATGGGCACTGTATTCAGTAGTCTATTTCAATAGTAGTCTGAAATAAAACACTTTCTTCTTTTCTCAAGTTTATTGGCATGTCACAATAATTTCCTTGAAAAAATTTAAGGAAAAAATTCTGAACAAAAACTAGAAACCAAGGGATTTGGTATTTTGATTCAAATTATTACTGATAATAACAAAATAGCCTCTTGGGTTCCTGGTTGGTTTCCTTCGTCTCATTGCCAGGTGGAAGGACAAAAACTATTGTCCCCAAAAATGGGAAATTGACTTTCCAGGTCAGTAAGGTTTGCCTTTGGTCACCCATCTATTGGGTCGGCAACTAAGTAATTGCTGATTTTTTAAAAATCAAAGACAATTTTTTCATGGAACTAAATAACTTTATTCTGTAATGTATTGCCCATTTTGATCAATGACCTTTTGCCATCTTTCAGGCAGCATCATAATCCCACGTTCAAAAAACTTCTGGTTTTTATTAGCAAAAAACTGAATCAGGTACGATTTGACATCATCATCATTATTGAAATTTTTACCATTCAAGGAGTTTTGTAAAGATCGAAACAAAAAGTAATCAGATGGTGCAAGGTCAGGACTATATGGTGGATGTGGCAAAACATCCCAACCAAGCTCCATTAATTTTTGCCGAGTGACCAAAGATGTGTGTGGCCTTGCATTGTCATGATGGAATACAACACCTTTTCGATTTGTCAATTCGGGCCGCTTTTCTTCAACTGCATTGTTTAATTTCATTAGTTGTTCAATGTAGACATCAGAATTGATCGTTCGGTTGGGTGGTAAGAGTTCAAAGTAGACAATTCCTTTGTAATCCCACCAAACTGATAACAAAACCTTCTTTTGATGAATATCAGCTTCTGATGTTGTTTGAGTTGGTTCACCTGGCCTGCTCCACGATCTTTTCCGCTTGATATTGTTGTAAACAACCCATTTTTCATCACCAGTTATCAGTCGTTTTAAAAATGGATCATTTTCATTACGTTTCTTTAGCAAATCGCAGCTGCTAATGCGTTGCGTTAACTGTGATTCTTTCAGTTCGTGAGGAACCCATGTATCGAGTTTTTGAACATAGCCAGGTTGTTTTAAGTGATTTTCAATGCATGTATGTGATACATGAAGCTTCTCTGCAATCTCATGTGTTGTACTGTGACAGTCCGAATTGATTATTGCTTTAATTAGGGCATCATCAACTTCAACTGGACGACCAGAGCGTTTTTCATCTTTGAGTGAAAAATCACCAGAACGAAATTTGGCAAACCAATTTTGACACTGCCGTTCTTTTAAGGCTTCGTCACCATAAACAGCACATAACTTTTTATGAGCTTGCGATGCGTTTTTCCCTTTGCGGAAATAAAAAAGCAAAATATGACGAAAATGTTCCTTTTGATTTTCCATTTTTCAACGAACGCCAAACGAAAACTACAAAACAGATCAAAAAACTTTTTTTACTGATTAACAGCTGAATAGCCAACTATCAAATAACAAAATGTGTTTTACATTTGTACTACGTCTGCAAACCTAAAAATTCAACTGAAGCCATATACGTGTGAAACCCGCAATTACTTAGTTGCCGACCCAATAGGAAGAGGTAAAGATGCCAACATAGTTCTCCTGCTTTATTCTGTTTTCCCTGCTCTGTGCCAATGGTGCTCTAATGTGAGCCTTTTAGGTAGACACAGGTGAAGGGAGGGAGGGAGGGAGAGAGGGAAGAAGGAAGAAAGGAAGGAAAGAAGGAAGGAAGGAAGGAAGGAAGGAAGGAAGGAAGGAAGGAAGGAAGGAAGGAAGGAAGGAATGGGATTGAGGGAGGGAAAGGGAGGAAAATTGAGAGAGAGCTAGAGAGAGAAGAAGGGAGGAGAGGTGGAGATAGATATAGAAAGACATAAACATGTGTATTACTATTTGAATATTAAACAAAGAAGAATCTGTTAAATATTGAATATAGTGCCCACTGAAATAGCAACAAGCAACACAATAAATTCTAGTTCCCTCCCTGTATAATTTTTCCAAACCTCCCAGCTCTAACCCTCTGAATGCTCTATGCTTGGGTAGCAGCACTGTGTCAGAGTGGAGAAGCTCAATATCACCTCACAGCTCTTTAAAGAAGAGCTTGTCCAAGTCATTTGGTAGACCTGGTTTTAGCAGCATTTAATCATATATGTTTTAGATTCATTTCCAATGTCCTTTTATGACCAGACCCTTGGATTCACAAATGTCTATTCCTATGGACTTTATCATTCAACCACCCCTTACTAGAAGTGTGGCAGGAACTGGATGGCAGCTGTGATGAAGTTCACCCCTTTGAAGAATAGGTTGATTACTAGAATAAATCAATTACATAGAAGAGGGAGTTTTGTGTACTTGAGAGAAGAATTATGTGAAGGCCATTAGAAGCATTCATTTACACACAACTTGCTAATTGCAAATCATTATCTATTAACTAAGACCAATTTCTGGAGGATGTTACCATGCTAAACCTTAGTTAAATGAATAGGGAATTACTGAATTGGCTCGAAAATGATCAAACTGTTTCTTTATCATTCACAGTAGACATCCTCTCCAATTATTGCACATAAGCAGAGCTTGGTGCATGCCTGTGTGCCCTGGCCGTGGGTCTGGCCCTCACCCCATGCCTTGGGAGGTTCTGCTCACTTCAAGGGAGTTGTCTTAGAAAGGGACCCCAGCAAGGAAGGAGATAGCTAGGCCCTCGCATATAAATGCTGATGATCAACCTATGAACATGCCAAGCAGAGGGAACTAATTCTTGACTTCACATATCTCAAAGTCTCCTGTGATCCCTTTAACCTTCAAGGTCCCCTAAATCAGACAGTAACCTCAGAGGACAAGACTGCAAAGGGGAAGCATTGAACTGACAATTCTGAAGATTCCTTCCCACTAACCAAAGATTCTGTCTGGGATTGCAGCTCCTAGGAACAATAGAGAAAATGCGAGGAGGATACAAATCAACTGCTGTGTTCTATAGCATCTCATGTACCTCTGTAATTTATAAAGCTTATCTAGAAAAATGGTGTAGCTGTGGCAGTTTGGTGATTCCTCAAAAAATTAAGCAGAATCACTACAAGATCCAGCAATTCCACTTCTGGATACAAAAAAAAAAAAAAAAAAAAAAAACAAAAAAAAAACTTAAAGAAAGGACTCCGACAGATACTGGTATACATGTTGTTCATTGCAGCATTTTGATAATAGTCCAAAGATGGAAATGAACCTATCACCCATCAACAGATGAATGGGTATCTCATGAATGGGAAACAAAGGTGGTATCTCTATACCTGGAATATCACTCAGCCTTTTAAAAAATGGAAAACTTTAAGGATATCATGCTAAGTGAAAGAAGCCAGACACAAAGACAAATATTGCATGACTCCACTTTTATGAGACACCTAGGATGTTCAAATTCCTAGAAACAGAAAGTAGAATGATGGTTGCAACGGTTTGGGGGAGTGGGGAGTTATGCTTGATGCGGACAGAGTTCCTGTTTGGGATTATGAAAGTTTGGGAAACGGATGGTGGTGATGGTTGCACAACACAGTTAATGTACTTAATACCACTGAAGTATACACTTAAATATGGTTCAAATGGTCAACTTTATATTGCGCATATTTCACCACAATAATAATTTTTCAAACTCATGTACTAGAATGGTGGCATGTGGACCCTGTCACCAGTATTTTTAAAGAAGGGCCATCAAATAGTTGGCGGTATTAGGGGACATGTCATGCTGGTTGCTGCCTGGGTGACGTTCCCAGCCTTGACCTTGAGGAGCATGGATTGCCTTGATCCAAGAGGAGGTTGGATCCAGGGGAAACAAACTAACCCAGGTGGGTCTTGTCTTCCGGACAGGTTTCCGCACAGCCAGTCCCACAGGAGCCCAGCAGGAAAGATTACGAGACCTACCAGCCGTTTCAGAATTCCACGCGAAACTACGACGAGTCCTTCTTCGAGGACCAGGTCCACCATCGCCCTCCCGCCAGCGAGTACACCATGCACCTGGGACTCAAGTCCACGGGCAACTACGTCGACTTCTACTCGGCTGCCCGTCCCTACAGTGAACTGAACTATGAAACGAGCCACTACCCCGCCTCCCCCGACTCCTGGGTGTGAGGCGGGTGGCACGAGGCGCTCCGGGAACAGTGCATGTGCATGCATACCACGAGACATTGCTTCTTTTTAAGTTTCCCCCCTGCAAATTTAGTTTGCTAAAGCCTGTTCCGTAGGAAGGCCATGATAACCAGTAAGGAAATACGAAGAGCTATTTTAGAAAGCTAAAGCGAATCGAAAGTTAACGTGGACGTCAATAGAAAGCTAAAGTGATCCTAAAGGTGCCCACCTGGTGCGACACCTTTCTAGTTTGAGCTGTAGGGTATGCAAGGGTATTGAATGTGGTGCAGACAGCACAGGCGGTGGCCCCATTGGCCTCGGTGGGGCGGTGGGGCGCAGAGGTTATAAGCACAGAGGCAGGCAGCACGGGTCGCACACTCCCGAAGGACGGCTTCTCACGCTTTGTTTCCTCTCTCCATCCGTTGTGATTCTAGGCTTCCAGTTGCATTGGGGTCCCTCTGTACAGCAAGATGTCTCTTGCCTTTTGTTAATGCATTGTTGTAAAGTATTTGATGTACATTACAGATTAAAGAAGAGAAGCGCGTTGTGTATATTACACCGAGGCCGCAGTGTTTCCTCATCGATGGTTCTAAATATTGCTTCACTCTCAAAACGTTTGGAAGATGTATGGATTTCCAGTTTTTTCCTTTCCTTTTCTTTCTCTCGGTATGTTTTAACAAAGAAAAAAATGGAGAAAAAAAGGAATATTTAGCAGTATTGTTCGTTCTGATATGTGAACTCGTTTGTGGCAACTAAGCAAGGCATTCAGCAGTTTCTGACAATTAACACACATCATTCCACACTCCTTGTCAACGAAGTGCTTTTTCACTGCCTACAATTTTAGATGTAGATATTTGAAATAGACTTTTTCATTTATACCAGTTTTCTTTATGATGATACAGTGTTAAAAAGAAAATAAATTACAATTGATCTGTCATTCATATCTGCTAAGAATGTCTATTTCCAAGGACCTATCTTACAAAATACACATTCTTGCTCGTGTGTCTGTGCGTGTGTGGGGTGTGCGTATGTCCACGTATGTACAAAAACGACCTGTGTGAGGTTATATTTTGACAGAAGCAAATTTCATTTGCTGTTCATCTTGTACAAACCTGTTCCTGGTTCTCAATGTAAATGTGCATCTGTCTGTTCCTTTCATCCTCTACCTATTCTTCTGACCATCTAGTGACTCAGGATAGTAGGCCGGTTGAAGTGAAGTTATAGGATTTTCACACATTCACACATTCTCCAATGCCAACTCTTTCTACAGGTCCGTTTCCCTCCGTGTTTTATGCCCTTAGAACACGATAAACCATGGCCAACTCAATAATTTCATTTGGGGGCCGATTACTTGAAGTATCCACAGGAAATGTACACTGCTCACCTTATTCCTCCCCAGACTCTTTTTGTTCACGTCACAGGGAGCAGTAGACAATGATGGATTAGATTATTAAAATGGAACTTGAAGCAAATGTTAGACTAGTGGTTAACAGAAACAGAGCTAAGAAATAAGGCTAACCATTTAAAAGAACACGGGCTGTGGGTAAATTAGCTTTGCTCTTTAGATGCAAGTGACTGAGGCCGATAGGTGCCTAGTAAATGTTAACTGTTCTTGGGAAAAAAAATAAAATACTTAAATAACAAAAGAAATTGGCTGCCATCTTCCTTTAAAACTTGCTCCCCTTCGCTCTACATAGTTTAATTCAGCTCCAAGTCTAAAGTCAACAGTTTCCTTTCCCAAATTTAAAAACAAACCAAAAGATTATTTTGTTCATGCCTGTTTTTTGTGTCTGAAAAGCTAATTTCCAGAATATAGCAGTAGACAAATTTCCATATGAATTGTTCTACAAATTGCCTACATGCTGGACCTGCTGGGCTGTTTACTATAGGACTCTATATTTCTGGATTCCCTCCCAGGAATGCTTCAGTCCCTACAGAGAGAGATAAATATGTAGCCTCAAACACAATGATTCCACTTCGTGCTCGTCATAGAATGAGATAGTAAAGTTCATAGAGGTAGTTCATTGTGGTATAGACGTTACTGTCAATTACTGAGTAGCTGGTTTCACTTTTTCAAAAGTAACAATAGGACATATTCCCTGGTTTGAGTTGTGCAGAGGGAAATTCATGCTGGTGTTAAAAAGTCCTCTTGACAACAACTTCCTGTTCCCTTTATGATTCTGAGTCTCTGCATACAACCCCTTTGGAAGACCAGAATGTCTCTGCTGTCCGTGATGCTCTGAGAGCGTTGTGCCAAGCTGAGATGGGCTAATTTAGTCAGGGGCCTCTGGCATCAGAGCTACAGGTAGAAGAAACAGAATTACATAAGTACTGCCTTCTGGGTTTCCATAACTCCCAGCGCCATAGCTCCGGAGAAACTCATTAATATTGATCCCTGGGTCCTGTCGATAAAGAGCATCCAAGCATTTGAAGCAATAGCTCCAGCTTCAATCGCCAGGTGTCCAAGGCCAGGTGCTGTAATGGGTTCTTCAACAGTTGCCTTACTGGTCCAGACACATTCATGAGCTCCATTAGGAAAATATCCCAACCAAATACTCTGTGCACTCAAGATCAAAAATTCCAAAGGGCAGCTTTACTTACCTTCTCAGTTTTAAAACTTTAAAAATAAATGTTAGCAAGAACAGACCTGGTGCCAGAGTGTGCTCATGGCATCGAGTGTGCTGTTAGGACCTACAAGGAAATGACTGCTAAGTTGTGTCATGAAATGGACAATGAAAACTGTATTTTTAAATGGTTCTATTTTGTTTTAGACTGTTTTAGAGATGTCTAAAAAATCAGAAAGGAGACTGGTAGTCTCTTGTAGGTACAATTTCATTGGGAGTTCAAAGTTGCTAGCCCAGTTACTAGGTGATCATAAGCAATTTGTTGCAGTTAATTTTGATCATAGTAAAAGTTGAGAGAGCTGCCGAAACCGGTTTGGTTCAGTGTTAGAGCGTCGGTCTGTGGACTGAAGGGTCCCAGGTTCGATTCCGGTCAAGGGCATGTACATTGGTTGCGGGCACATCCCCAGTAGGGGGTGTGCAAGAGGCAGCTGGTCGATGTTTCTCTCTCATCGACGTTTCTAACTCTCTCTCTTCCTCTCCCTTCCTCTCTGTAAAAACTCAATAAAATATATTAAAAAAAAAAAAAGAAAAGTTGAGAGAGCTGACTAAAGTAAAGTGGTAAAGAGAGATTTTTTTTTTTTTAAATAATGGGGCTAACGCAAGAACTCTTCCTAATAGTTAATAGGCCAACATATTAATAGTATTTCCTTCAGGTTGCCGGACTCAGCAAATAAAAATGCAAGACATCCACCACACTAGAATTATTTTGTTTTCTGAAATTCAAATTTAATTGGGCATTCTGTACTTTTCCTGGTGACTTTTCATTTAATTTACTATATTTCTGCCATTACTTTTCTAAGGAGTAATGCTTTGTGGAAAAGTGAAAATCAATTCAAAAATTCATTAATTGATTAGTCTCAGTTATTGTACTACTACTACTTGATCTTAGTCAAAAGGCTGAGAAGCAAGTCAATTACCATAGATGTGACATCTATGTAAAATGGTGGAAATATGCGGGTAGGACTCAGAAGCCCTGTTTGGGTAAGCTAGGTAACTTCTGGGTCTCTTCCCCTGTTAGTAAATTGGGGGCAAGAATACCATCTGACAGTTTTTGTGAAGATCTGGTTAGGTTTGTGACCAGTGTTATACTAGTAAATGTTTAACAACTGACTCAGAGGAAAAAAAAAAATTATTGGTTTATAACATTTGCCAATTTCTGTGCTGTTAGTGCACACACCAAGTTTTCAAGCTACCAAGATGTCACTAATTCAGTTAGAAGTGATGGTCAGTTACAGACATATTCTCTTTCCAGGATACAGATAAAGTAGATGTAAATAACTTCAAGAGCATAGGTAATAGTAAAATGCAGTAAAATATTTAGGTTGTGATGGGTTCTGAATATTTATTACCTTTACTTTCACTATCATGCATTTCATTGTAAGTTTATATAATTTGACTAGAGGCCCAATGCATAAATTCATGCATGGGTGGGATCCCTCTGGGTGGTCTGTGGGGATCAGGATCAGGTCGAAATCTGCAGTCCAACATAGCCTGCTGCTCCTGCTCATCCCAGCTCCACTGTGCCTGCTGTGGGCTCATGCCCAGTCAGTCCCAATCTGAGGAAGCTCCCACTGCTGCAGCAGCGCTCACTAGTCATGAGCCCTGCGTCTGGTGCTCTCCCAAGAACTGAAATTGGCTCTCTGACATCCCCTGAGGGGTCCCAGGTTGTGAGAGGGCCCAGGACACACTGAGGGACCCCACAGTGCGCAATCAGGCCAGGGAGGGACCATAGGAGGGCTCCAGAGCATGTCCAGCCCATTTGACTCGGTCCAGTTTGGACCCCAGCAGCAAGCTAACCTACTAGTCTGAGCATCTGCCCTCTGGCGGTCAGTGCACATCATAGCAAGTGGTTAAGCAGCCTTAGCATATCATTAGCATATTATACTTTGAATAGTTGGTTGTTTTGCTGTTCGATCTATTTGTATATCACCCTTTTATTATATAGGATACTTAATAATGACTATTTAACAACCAACTTGCAAATTCCTGAAAATTTAACAATCAGTTCTTGCAAGCAATAAGGGCCAGTGCTAACATACCACTGCTTATGACATTGTAAACTGCCATACAAATGTGTAATTAACATTCTTTCAATCAACCCACATTTATGGAAGCTATCCTGTAAAAGGCACAACATAAAAATTCTTGGAAAACAGATATAACAAGGGAAAAGTGCTCTTCCTAAATACCAGTAGCTTCCAAAGGGGTGTGGGGTAGTGCTGGCCATCACCACTGAGCCTGGGATTCCAGAACAGCCCAGAGCAGGGGGAGGCAGCCACATAAATGACCTGTACTGCGTATTTTATTTTAGGAAAATGAAGAAGGAGAACCTTGGCTGCACTGAGGTCATTGTTCCTGTGGCCCACCATAATGTTGTACACTTGATTTTAGCTGCTTCAGGTAAACCCCTGGTGTATCAGTTCCCTATGACTGCTATAACAAACTACCATCAATTTAATGGCTTAGAATAGGGGTGTCGAACTCAATCAGAGAAGGGGCCAAAATCTAAAATGCAGCCTAAATCGCGGGCCGAATGGTTTACTGAACAGTCATAAACTGTCATTGTGATGGAAACGCAGCGGAGTGCAGTAATGACAGCGCGGTGCGGGCCACATTGCAAGGCCTGGCGGGACGGATTTGGCCCGCGGGCCTTGTGTTTGACACATGTGGCTTAGAAAACAGAAATTTAGTAGCTCTGAAGGTCAGAAGTCCAAGATGGGCCAGCAGAGTTGAGTTCCTTTGGGGCTTTAGGAAAGAATTCGCTTCCTTGGTCTTTCCAGCTTCTCTAGGACACCTGTATTCGTTGGCACCATGTTTAAGACCAGCAGGTACATCTCTACATCTCCAATCAAATCTCTCCCCAACCCCCTGCTTCCCTCTGTTCTCTCATAAGGACCCATGTGATACATTGATAATCTCCACAACAAGCTCCTTAGAGTATACTGTCACATCTGCAAAGTCTGTTTTGCCATGTAAGGTAACATATCCACCGGTTCCAGGGATTAGGACATCTTTGGGGAGGCCTCCACTCTGTCTACCACATCTGGCTTTTGATATAGCATATACTATCAGAGTCTAGGCAAAAACAAAAAAAGTCTTAAAATAGCTTTTTGCTGTATCTATATCTAAATTCCTAGAGTAAGTTCCTAAAATAATCTAGCTTATATTAAATTCTTTAGGGGGGTGGGAATAAAACTATTTTTTTCTGTAGCATTCTCCTGAAGAATCTCTGAACAGGTGGCAATTTTCATGCCTATTTCTGATTTTTAAAAAAAAAACAAAACTCTTTTGCTACATTTATTTGCTAATTAATAATATTTATGCAACTTGAGGTGGAGGCAGGAAAAGATTACGTACACATAAAACAAAAAGGATAAGAAGTGGAAGGTATATGTATAACAAAAGGTCAAGAGTTTGAAAAGCTTTTCCAGCTTTATTGAGTTATAATTGACACAACGCATAAGATTGTAAGATATTTAAAGTGTATGATGTGGCAATTTGATATACCAATACATTGTGAAAGGATTCCCCCATCGAGTTAATTAGCATAGTTTAGATTAAATTCTGCTCAGTAATTGGAATTACAATCATAATGCGGGCCTTTCTATTGTCTCATAAAAAGAAATTAGCTTATTTGCAACCTGGGATCTTATGTCAGAGGTGGATGAAAGTCCCCAGTGTTGGTGGAAGTCAAGGTGTGAATGTCCAGAGGGGACCCCGGGAGGCTGGGATTCTCTGAGGGGAGATGGTGAGAAGCTGTTCTCATTGTGCCATCCCCCCCACCCCCACCCCCTGCTAATCCCTCAGCCCCTTCACCATTCACATGGCCCATACTTTCTGAGTCACCATTCTGAGGTCTCATTCTGGCCTTGCCTCATGGGCTTGCCGTCTCATGTCTCAACACTTCCTTGAAAGGTGGTCATAACTTTCAGAAAGAGAGAAATGTGTCAACAAAGGAGGGCACATGCTTTGCTCAGTCAGCACCAAGGTGTGGAATGGATTGTTTGGGGCTGAATTATGAC